TGTTGGTGGTGACGTGTGTTAGTGGTGATACATGTTGGTGCTGACGTGTGTTAGTGCTGATACATGTTGGTGGTGACGTGTGTTAGTGCTGATACATGTTGGTGGTGACGTGCGTTAGTGCTGATACATGTTGGTGGTGACGTGTGTTAGTGGTGATACATGTTGGTGGTGACGTGTGTTAGTGCTGATACATGTTGGTGGTGACGTGTGTTAGTGCTGATACATGTTGGTGGTGACGTGTGTTAGTGCTGATACATGTTAGTAGTGACACGTATTAATAATAACACATATTAGTCTTTGCAATAAATATATTTGCAACTAGACATAATCCTGACAGCTCTGTCCTCTTGCTCAACCCTTAATACTGTACAAACCATGTTGTACTGCTCCCCCATTATACTTATGTTTTTCAATTCCACTGTAATTTATGTACATACGGTACTTAAAATATAAATAAATATAAAAAATAATAATAATAAATTAATAAAATAAATAAATATTGAAGTGATAACCGTGGTAACATTCTTGAGATGTTCTTATTACCACCATGCTATTGTACTATTCCAGATGATACTAAATGTTACATATTACTTCCTTGAGATAAATGTATAGTATATATCAGGTGCCTCAAAGAGAGCTCAGGTTCTCAACTGGCTCAGCCATGTTAATATTGTTATTATTATCCACTCTGTATCTGTGTTTTTCTGGCTAAATAAACTGTTTCAATTCAATTCAAAGTGGTGACACATATTATTGGTGACATTTAGTGGTGGCACATACTAGTGGTGACACATATTTGTGGTGACATTTAGTGGTGGCACATACTAGTGGTGACACATTATTGGTGACATTTAGTGGTGGCACATACTAGTGGTGACACATATTAGTGGTGGCACATACTAGTGGTGACACATATTAGTGGTGACATGTTGCACAATTCAGTTTTATTTTTCCGGAAATATATGTGACGTGGAACTAAAATATCTACATGACTCTCTCTCTCTCTCTCTCTCTAAAAATGGCGACAAGTCAAATAGACCCCCAGCTTCAATAGACTCAAATCTACCCATATTAGTATTGGGTCCCATTAGAACTTGGGGCCCTGTTTGACCACTCATACCTCAAACCCGCGAGAAACATGATCAGAAATATCCATTTTGGAGAATTTCATTTAATCTAATAAAACCATTTTATCTTTGACCTACTGCAATCTAATTTTTTTTACTTTTTTTTTCTATAGTAATCATCTGAGTCTGAAAATCTTGTAATGGTTCCTTAATTTTTTTTTTATGATTTTTTTGAAGTCTGTTCACATCTCATGGGAAATTATCGCCCGACCCTTCTGCCACTCTAACACCATAAAGCAATGAGGATGTTTTCCTTAGTTTAATGTAAATAACCCAATGTTTTAGATTAGGAATTTATTACAGGAACAACAACAAAAATGGATATTTAAAGATATGTAAATGGACCCTAGGCTGTAGTAACATCCCGGTAACTTAAATAATAATAATAATAATAATAATAATAATAATAATAATAATAATAATAATGTACTCATAAGAATATATATTTTTCCAAGTACAATTATTAGTGATGAAGTGTTTATCTCTGCCTGTCTCTCGCTCTTTCGTTGACATTAAATTATGGTCCTCAACATTCAAAATATTTCCTCTGTTGGCTCTAGTCTTATAACACACCAACTTAACATAAACAAGATACTAGACATTGGGATCCACCCTTAATTGGCGCCCAGTCTTAATAGGCTTCAATCACCGTGGACAGCTTAGCGTGTATTGGGACCACAGCCCATTAACGCACCAACTTTTGTATCGGGTTGTGTGGCTCAGTCCTCGGCCAGATTGCTAACAAGAGCGTAACTATGTCGGGGTCAACAGTGAGGTGCAGTCGGCTTTTTGTTTATCAATATTTTATCATCTCTTATTTCAGTGAGGAGGTGTGTGTGTGAGGGGCGACCCATGCACCAACACCTGCAGGAGACAGTGTCATGTGAACTAACAGGATACAGCTGCTCACCTGCCACTCAGAATGTGCGATGTTGAAAATATATTACAGGTAAAACTACAGAAACTACACCTTGGATTGATTTTTTTTCCACACTGCCATGAAAAAGATATTATTTTTGTAGCAACCAAAATATACATACCATAATACATACAGATTATACATAATATACATGAGACTAATTTACACAGCCTTTCACTTACGAATTATAAATAACAAGGGTGGCCAAGTATTGTTCACTGATGAGTTGCGCCTCGTTCAAATTAAAAATATTTAAAAATCCCTCAAACGCGAAGAACATCAGACAGATGCAAAAAGGCGGACATAGGGTCGACTAATCGCAGCCAAAAAACCTTCCCTTAACAACCACAAGTAAATACGAAGTGACTCTGTGAAGGAATAACAGCCTTGAGAGTCCAGTTATTCTCCCCTACTGCAGTAACAAGACGGGGACCACAACACGTCTCAAACTGTCAGTGGCAGCAGCGTGTGACCAAAACAAGCGATGAAATGTCTATCACACACTCAAGCTCATAATATCACTCTCTGTGTCGTGATCTACAAACTACAGTACGTGAATAAATCTTGTAAGGTATCCCAGGGAGGTGAGGGATGTAGGGAAGTTACAGCATATAATGTTTACCAAGAGACTCCAGGATAGGAAAATGTATTCATTGATCAGCTTTAATTAGCCTGGTGATGTGTTGACGGCGAGAGGGCTGTGTGCTGATGAGGGGCTGACTTGTCTGTCTCAGCACCGCACCACTGCCGCCCTCAACACAATCCACACATTCCCTCCCTCACCACACTGCCACCCTCACCACACTGCCGCCCTCAACACAATCCACACATTCCCTCCCTCACCACTCTGCCACCCTCACCACAATCCACTCTGTGAGTAACAGAACTGCTGACGTTATCTTGAAACTTTACCTAGCATTAGTGAGGCCACACATGGATTATGCGGTTCAGTTCTGGTGTCCTTATTATAGAATGGACATAGATTCTTTGGAGAAAAGAAGAATGACAAAATGATCCATTATTATAAAACCTTCCATATGAAGAAAAGACTGCTTAGCTTACATTCATTAGAGAGGCGTAGAGTTAGGAGATATGATAGAGGTGTACAAGGGGTAAGGGGATTAACAAGGGTAAAATGGAAGATGTTCTGAAGCTTAGTAATAACGAAATAACTAGAACAAATGGCTTTAAATTAGATAAATTCCGATTCAGAAAGGATATAGGCAAGCACTGGTTTGGTAATAGAGTTGTGGATATGTGGAATAGGCTACCGAGTGCTATAGTAGGATCGGGGACGCTAGGGAGCTTCAAGACGAAGTTGGATAGGCACATGGAAGTGCTGGAATGGGTGTGAAAGGGATCTGCCCTGTATGGGCCAGTCGGCCTCCTGCAGTATCCCACTTTCTTATGTTCTTATGTTCTCCCTCACCACACTCCAATAACAGCAATACTTTAAACATATCAATAAATAATTAAACGCACAAACGCTTAGAGTATTAATATCAAGATGTCACCTACATTATAGAAGTAATTATTGTGTTGCTCTGTTAGTCTCATAATATTCTATGGTCTGTCTTAAGGTATAAACAAAACATCAAAGCAAGCCAGGAGTGGACACGGGGTAGCTGCCAGTCTGCCATACAGTACACTCCGGGTTGGTGTACAAGAACAAGTGCCATATTTTTGTAACCTGTTTATATCAATTGAATATAGAAGAGTACATTTGTTTTATTTGTTTTAAGTTCTTTCAGTACTTTTTGCCTACAATGACAGGTTTTTATTTGCGAAGTGCAGGTTTAAAACACACGGAATACGGCCATGTTCCGCAACACATTAAAATAACACTAAAAATGAAGTGCTATCCTGACGGTGATGTGAATAACTTCCCGATCAACAGCTCGGTGTCTGAAACATGCCCGGGGTGCTCTCACACAGTACTCTTAATTTCATACACAATTGTATATTAATTAGAGGTGTGTATTTATGAACTCAAATGTTTAGTACTCTGTCGTGTGAACATTTTTATTACACGTACAGGACATTCTGTTTATCTTATCAGCATGTGGGAGGGGCAATGGAGGCTGGAGAGAGGGAGATGTGGTAACACGAGGGGCGGCGCTGGCGGGGACCACAACAGAGACTGTGAGGGAGGGAGACGTAACACCCAGTACTGCTACTACTAACCCTGCCACTGACACCAAGTGTAATCAGTCGAAAAAAATACCCAATAAAAATCTTACTGTGGGAAATACGAACATGCGTGTGAGTATCTCTGTCCTTGTGATAAATTTTATTATTCGTTAAATGCTAAATTATTTTTATTATTATTTTTAAGGGAATGTGTCAAATATATTGTACATTTTCGCTGATTTTTTTTTTTTCCTCCATGCATACAACTACACGGTGGAGGTGGTGGTGTCATGTTTTGACCATGGGACAGTACCTCACAGGTCGGCCAGCGGGGTACCTGGTCACATCTCTTGTGATGGAGGTTTCTGTTGTCATAAAAATATCACTTAATTGAATTAAAAGAAATTTCCCCTAAACTGTAACTTTCACCACGTGTTAAGCTTATAAGACTCGCCATGATGATATGCCAAACTTTACTCTTACAAGAAAAGTTTTGCTGTAATCGTGTCAACACAGAGGCGTTCTACATTTATATATACAATTAAAAATAATTTATACTGAACAATGTCCTGGTCCCTACTGTGGCAGCGGCCCGCGCGAGGGTCACCAGCGCTGCCCTTGACCAGTGACGCCGTCCTTGTGTACTTTAGTCTTTGTATCTCTTCTACTGAGCTCTAGGCCAACTTCGTGTGTTGGTTGTTACATACAACAGTTGCTGTACAGTGTTAAGATGTCTATGCGATAAAGGCCTCGGTGTGCCAATGGGAAGACCAGGGTAATGTGGGTGGCCGCTGGGCAGGTAAGGGGTAGGTCATCACACTCACCTGGTCCTGGGGTGCCCGTGTGCTGCACAGTGATGCACATGTCGTTGTCTAGAGGAAACTTGTCACAGTTCAGCATTTCGGGCCAAGGGAAGCTGTAAGTCTGCATGCGGCTCTCGCAGCCGCTACGCACCGCCTCACACAAGCTGCGGCACGGGTAGATGGGGCTCTCCAGGCACACTGGCGTGAACAGTGAGCACAGGAACAGCTGCGTATTGGGGTGACATCGCAGGTTCAGAAGAGGCACCCAGTACCCTGCCTGCTGCTGCGCCTCCTTCAGGGTATCGTGCTCCAGTAGGTTGGGCAGCCGCATCTTGTTGTAGTCTATCCCCGAACATAGCGGCATATTCTGCGGAATGTCCACACAAGTAGGCTCCTGCGGCCGCCCTCCTATCACTCCCCAGTCAGCAAAATAAGCGCTGGTCTCCCCCGCTGCCCCTACCAGGAGCAAGAGGAGCGGGAGAGCTGAGAGAGCGGGCCAGCGGGGCATCACGGACCTCACCCACTGACTGCCAGACATAAACTGGCGGGCAGCGCAACGGACGGTCCCCACGCCGACCCCGCGGCCACACACACACACACACACACACACACACACACACACACACACACACACACACACACTCTCACACACGCATACACAGACACAAACGTACACATGCACACGCGCCCACTCACACAACAACATCCTCTCTAGATAACTGATTAACACCTTTTTATTCAACCAAACAATGATTGGCAGCGGGGCAGGTGTTGGTGCGGTGTGGGAGGGGAGTCTGACAGGAGAGGAATGTTGGGGCGGCGGGCGGCCACCCACCCACCGCCCGGTCCGCCCACCTGTGCTGGTGAAGGCCACTACTCCGTCTGCTACTCCACCATCCCACTACCTCATTTCCAGGGAGTAGACGATAGCCACTCCGCCCCTGCCCGAGTGTACACCACCACCAAAACTCCACTACACATCCTCCCACTATACATCCACCACACACACACACACACACACACACCACACACACCACACATCCACCACACACACACTCCACCACACACACCTCCACCACACCCTCCACCACACACACACTCCACCACACCCTCCACCACACACCCTCCACCACACACACTCCAACACACCCTCCACCACACACACACCACCACACCACACACACCCACCACACACACACCCACCACACACACCCACACCCACACACCATCCACACACACACCCACCACACACCCTCCACCACACACACACACACACCACACACACCCTCCACCACACACCCTCCACCACACACACACCACACACCACACACCACCACACACCCTCCACCACACACACACACACCCCTCCACCACACACACCACACACACACACACACACACCCACCACACACTCCACCACACACACCACCACACACACCACACACCATCCACCACACACACACACTCCACCACACACCCTCCACCACACACACACACACACACACACCCACCACACACCCTTCACCACACACACCCACCACACACACCACACACACACCCACCACACACACCACACACACACCCACCACACACCTTCACCAACACAACCACACCCACCACACACCCTCCACCACACACACACCCACCACACACCCTCCACCACACAACCCACCACAAAATCCACCACACACACCCTCCACCACACACACCCTCCACCACATACCCTCCACCACATACCCTCTCCACCACACAAACTCCACCACACAAAATCCACCACACACACCCTCCACCACACACACCCCACCACACACACCCTCCACACACACCTCCCACCACACACACACACCCATCCACACACACACACCACCACACACACCCTCCACCCACCCTCCTCTCCACCACACACCCTCCACCACACACACCCTCCACCACACCCTTCACCACACAAACTCCACCACACACCCTTCCCTCCACCACACACACGTAACACCCCTTCCCTGTCCCGCCGTCACGTGACGTCTGACATAAGAGAAAGAATACTACCTACGCGCCCATGCCCAGTGGTACACACACACACACACACACACACACACATAATGATAACTCACAATTACAAAAGAACACGCACGTATATACATACACACATATTCACATATAGGACTCAGATACACGTAAATACGCATATATGCACGTACTAAACATAGGCACACAAGCATACAAACACACGTACATGCATACACAAGCAATCATACATGTGTACGTCAACTATATAAACACACCCACACACACTTATCAAAACATGCACAAAGCATCATACACACACACACACACACACACACACACACACACACACACACACACACACACACACACACACACACACACACACACACACACACACCGCCATGCAGATGTATCCATACGCACACCAATACACACATGAATACAAACACATAAAATATATACACACCCACACATACACATGGGCATACACTAATGCAAAAACACACACACACACAATTGTATGTAAGCATTTGTAACCTTCTTCTATCATCTGATTACCTCTCTCTCTCTCTCTCTCTCTCTCTCTCTCTCTTTATCTATTCATTCTACCTCTCTTTTTAGATATACTTCACACAAATACCTATATATGTTAGTTAAATTCTAAATAAATCTTAACCAGTTTTAACTATGCTAAAACTAAAAGTCAAAAGGCCGTACAATACAACAAGTATTAACTAGACAAAACTAAATACACATAAGGATGCTGGGAATACTCGAAATCCAAGACTAGCATATTATTAAACCTAGTTTTAACTAAACATTTAAATTAAACTAGTTTCAACAATAACACTGTGTGAGAGAAATGGTTAAAACTGGTTTTGACTTTTGGGCCTCAGTTTGTAGCAGCTCTGTGTTGAGAACGACGAGTGATTCACTGAAACATGAAGGCAAAATAAACATGTACTTTATGTATGTGTGTGTGTATATGTCTGTATGTTTCTTATGTATTTCCATGCTTGGAGATAGGGAGCTCAAATTCGGTAGAGGTGTAGGTGGCCCTGGCCTAAAGAATGGTCGCACACTGTCTCCTGGCCCATGAGCCACCCAGGCCAGACCGAATAACTCACCAATTTTTTTTTTTGTCAATTTATTTGGATGAGTCGGTGTCACTTTGTTCTATATTTCTGTCGGTTTTTTTATACAATTAACCTTTAACTTTGATTTATTGGTGTTGAGTTACCTTGAGGGTGTACTGGCAGGGTATAGCTCCTGTAGTGGCTCCTGGAGGAGGGAAGTACCTGAAGAAGGGTGTACCTGAGAGGGGTGTACCTGAGGGAGGGTTTACCTGAGGGAGGGTGTACCTGAGGGAGGGTGTTCCTGAGGGAGGGTGTTCCTGAAGGAGGGTGTTCCTGAAGGAGGGTGTACCTGAAGGAGGGTGTACCTGAGGGAGGGTGTACCTGAGGGAGGGTGTTCCTGAGGGAGGGTGTACCTGAGAGAGGGTGTACCTGAGGGAGGGTGTACCTGAAGAAGGGTGTACCTGAGGGAGGGTGTACCTGAGGAAGGGTGTACCTGAGGGAGGGTGTTCCTGAGGGAGGGTGTACCTGAGGGAAGGTGTACTCGAGTGAACCATTAACTTGCACCAGGATACCTGATTCTGGGTTCAATGTTATGTAATTCACCTTGACTTTCCTACACTGAAATTAACCCACGAAGGTTGTAATTGGCTTAGAGATATACCTTCAATAACAAGAACTGTGATTAGCCCAGAGATATATCTTCACCAATAACAAGAACTGTGATTGGCTTAGAGATATATCTTCACCAATAACAAGAACTGTGATTGGCTTAGAGATATATCTTCACCAATAACAAGAACTGTGATTGGCTCAGAGATATACCTTCACCAAAAACAACGGCTGTGATTGGCTCAAGAGTTATAAATAATGGGCCCATAGGAGTCATAAGTTAGGTCGTCTACAGTAAATAAATAAAATATCGATATGTAATTTATGTCGTAAAAGATAAAAATAAATGTATTACCTCTGCAGCAGCGAACTTAACGTAAACCCACGCCCTTCCTTCTTTTAGCCTGGATCATCCTTTATTTAATTCAGTTTGAGTATTGCTTAAAAAGTGTGTAGTAAGGAATTCCTGTGTAGCAGCGTAATAAGTGTCCTAGTGTGTCACCTTTACAGCTCAATTAAATGTTTCTCATCATGGTATGTGTGAATTGTTACTAGCAAAACACTCCCAGAATACGTTCAGTGCTTAATATAATTTCTCAGTGTCGCCCGCGACCTGTAACGTTCTCAGTATCCCAAGTGCATTTTAATTGTCAGTCAGTGTTAAATGTGCCCATTGTGTTTTAGTGATAGAAGCTGTGTCTATACTAACTGTTAAAACCTATTATGTTCTACAACCTACTGTACATCCTCCTCCCTGTACAGTTAAAATATGTCAAAATACCTGGCTTCTGTAGTATTGCTATCACTCCCGCACCTTCAGTAGTGACCTGTGTTAACTTGAGAGATGAATGTCCCGGGTCATCATGGTAGGTGGAGGAGATGAGTGCCCTGAACCAAGGTAGAAGGAGGAGATGAGTGCCCTGAACCATGGTAGAGGGAGGAGGAGATAAGTGCCCTGAACCATGGTAGAAGGAGGAGATGAGTGCCCTGAACCATGGTAGAGGGAGGAGGATGAGTGCCCTGAACCATGGTAGAAGGAGGATGAGTGCCCTGAACCATGGTAGAAGGAGATGAGTGCCCTGAACCATGGTAGAGGGGAGGAGATGAGTACCTGGAACCATGGTAGAATGAGGAGATGAGTGCCCTGAACCATGGTAGAAGAGGAGGAGGAGATGAGTGCCCTGGAACCATGGTAGAGGGAGGAGAGATGAAAGTGCCCTGAACCATGGTAGAAGGAGAGGTGCATTGAAATCATGGTAGAGGGAGGAGATGAGCCCTGAACCATGGTAGAAGGAGGAGATGAGCACTCCTGAACCACAGAAGACAGCCCTGGAACTATGCAGTAGAAGGAGGAGATGAGCCTCTGGAACCATGGTAGAAGGAGATGAGGCCCCTGAACCATGGTAGAGGAGGAGGAGATGAGTGCTCTGAACAGTGGTAGAAGGAGAGAGAGTACACTGAACCATGGTAGAGGGAGGGAGGTGAGTGCCCTGAACCATGGTAGAAGGAGATGAGTGCCCTGAACCATGGTAGAGGGAGGAGGAGATGAGTGCTCTGAACCATGGCAGGAGAGATGAATAACCTTGTTAAGTAAGAGAACTGATCATCAACAAACCCACCATGAAAAATGTATCCAGTCATCAATTTATATTTTAATCAATTCGACAAAGACCCAGCTGATATACCCAACACCGTATACTCATAACCTCTCAAGTATATCAAAATGGCTACTTCCGGGTATGCTAATTAACCTACAACTCTATAAAACCGTAGAAAATAACCTGTATTATATTCTAGTTTATATAATTACGACATGTAGTAGTTAATTAAGGTAATATGTAATCATAACTGGTATCAGG